TTTTTTTAAATATATATTATTCAAATTTTCCATTTTTAAAATTTACTTAAAATTTAACTAACTGCTGTGTTATCAATACATACTGTCTTTAGAGATATTTAATCGTATTGACCTGTTCAGTGCCAGTCATTTCTGCTTATCTTTTTTATAATACACATGTTATGTTTCTTATCGCGTACCAATAAGATTAGCATAACTTCGGTGAAAGCAAAATAACTTTTTAATAAGTGTTTTTGCACAATACAGCCACGCAGTGATAGAAGCACGAAGAATGCAGTATTCTAACATTTAACGTGACGATAGCATTCTTTTTTTCACAATTGTATCACTCTTAATGTATTCTGACGTGTGACTGAAATTTGTGCGATTTTGTCATCGCATTGCACTCGGACCAACACGAATTAGAGCAGGGAAAGGCCTATTGGAATAAAGTAATCGATCATTTGGTGTCCTATTTCACGAACATGTTGCGGTATTATGCAGAGTCCACATCATGCTTGAAAGCGTTAAAACAATATTGTTTGTCATCGCTACATTGTGGTTTAATTGCTTACTAAACGAGCACCAGCACAGTGCTAAGCTTTCTAAATTTGTACTTAATTGCGTTATCGTCTTTTAAGAAGTAACTTTCACAAATGCACTTTTCGTTTAAAAAGTGTGTTAAGTAATTGATAAGTATTATATAATCTTTGACTTGCGTGGACTACTTACAAAATGTAAAAAAAAAAGAAAAATTAGAAACTAAACCGACGCGCGCATGAGTGCTTCGGATTAAGTAATTTACATAAATCTGCGTACGTCCTAATGGAACACTGATTTTGCAAGTATTTTATTATGGACTGTGTGAAAGGGAAGTAACTTATAATTAGAAAGTAGTGATTAATTCAGTTAGGGAAGCATATCTTACCTTCGGAACATGAATTAAAAACTGTAACAGGTTTCCCCGTTTATAGAAATCTTCAGAAGCTTTTAATATTTATTACGCATAAATATGTTATAATTATCACGATCATACACTTAGAAATAAGAAGGAAACACAAAAACCACGGATAAGGAACATCTGATTTCACTGTTAATTTGTGCCACGCGGGCTTATCACATGAAGAAGTTGAACATAGCTGCGAGTACTATCCAATGGTCATAGATCTCGTATGCGATATTAATGGTAACATATTCATGGTAGACTAACCAATGTCTGTTTAAAAGATATTTCACGAATGCGACACCACCCACTGATTATATTGCAGTACTAGTAACACGTTTTGGACAGCTTTTGAAAACCATAGTCACTGTCTGATCACGAACCACCCACGATCCCAATGCAACTTGTGGAAACAAACATCGTAGTGCTACAACCACTAGCAATCACGAGATGTCGTATTATGAACACCGATCATTGACAATGTCGAGATTTCGGTGTGTTAGCGCCATCTGGCAATCTTTTATAAATAGCAAAGTTAATCAACCGAAGATAAATTATTTTAATACAATCACAGGTGGGGGACAAAAACCATAGCGAAGTATAGAAAAAACCTATCCACCAAAAATAGACCTCTCACCACAGACGAAGTAGAGAATAGACCTATCACCACAGATGAGATTTTGTACCTGGCTGTGCTTCATGTTCTGAAATACCGATCGTGCAAACAGTCAGTGGTTTTGTCGTGCCCTCTACGATTTAGAGCGGTGACCTTAGAAATTACATTCAATTCAACTACCAAACATGGTAAAATCGACAGATATAAAGATTCTTTTTTGTTACATCCCCCTATAAACATACATACTTTATCATATAAAAGGTAAGAAAATATTTTTATGAAAGTTGCAAATATTCGCTAACTTTTACACTACGATATCTTTCATTGTTAATAGCTAAAAAACAAACGCAATTTTTTTATTCTTGATTTTTCTTATTCTGACTTGTAAAATCACCACTTAAATTTTCTGCCAACTGTTGTCGAACATCTTGCATTTTCTATTGAGTTTCGAAGAAATGTGTATATAATTATATGAGAATGAGAGAGTCTTGCAAATCCAGGACTTCATTGCTTACGCAATTACTTTTCTCGCCCATTAAAAATGCAGCTAACAAATTCTTTCATAAGGCATGTGCTGAAAAAAGTAACCGATGGTACGAAACGTCTCACTCACATACTATCGTATACCTACCTCTAAATCTACGAGCTTACATTCCTAAATACCACAACTACTGTTCCCCACTCCTCTTTAATGACTGTCGACGTTATTGGCCCCTAACTTTGTTCGTTCACAACACTGCCCTAGAGTAACGGCGGGCGCCCGAAACTGACCTTTTTGATTGGTCCTGATTCAGAATCTCAGAACCGTGAGACAAAAAAGATTTTCTTACAAAAGATAATTGGTTATCAGTAGCCAAAAAATATTTTAATCATTTATAGTGACTATTCATAACGAAAATATTTAAATTGAGAAAATAAACGTTGTTATAACTTTTTTGCATTGAGGTTATGACAGTAATGACAGAAAAAAGTACATTGAGTAATAGTAGGTCTGTCCTGTATCTCGCCTGAACTTATACTTCATTCATACAGTCACACTTATTGTTATTTTCAATTTCCGTTACTATTAGTGTTGCAATGTCATTCTACGCTGATTCGATAATGTCGAATGTGACGTAAACATTTTAACGAGGTCGCGAGCACCGGAACTATGTGACACAAAAATGCATTGTGTGATACATCTATATTTTGCTTTGTTTATGGTAAGGATTTTCATTATTTTCATTTATTGGCACGAACAAACACAATGAATATACATAATACGAAAACAAAGCATTAGTTATCTACGCAAGTTTGTTTATTTGTTTCTTTTTTATAGGCAATTTTGCAAAATGTTCTTGCAAAAACAGTTTTGTTTTTACTTTTTATACCGTTGAAATAATACATTACATATTTGTCTATGTTCTTGAATTAATATAATACATTTACTTCTTCTCATAACCTAAACCTAATAAAAACATACATAATTGAATTTCAGCATTTACAAGAGTATCATTTTTGTTCACGTGCATCAATTTCAACGAAACATTTCATTCTATCCTTTCAAGTAACGAACATAAAAACATCATTATAAATTGTGTAAAGTAATTCATTAGAAGAAAAATACAAAACACCAAACTTAACTATAATTTAATTTTCTCAAAATATTCCTTTTCCCTTGTGCTGCATTTTAATTACCCATTTAATGCAAGAACAATTTTCTAATTCAAACATTTCGATACCCTTAAATACCAGTAACAAAGTAACAAACACAATGTAAGAACGTATTAGAAGACAAAATTTAAGAAAAATTCCTGATCTACTTGAATCACAAATTATCGTTAGTCATTACTCACTACTGTTGTTTCTCGTTACAATTCATACAACTGGTGGACAAGAGTAAGCTGTAGGCAGTACACACTTTTGTTTATCTGGGTTAAATAGTAAACTATTTGGGCATGTGAGATTATATCTGGTAGTTGTTACACCATTCGTGAAACAGAAATAATACTTTTGACATTTGGTGTCTGGCAGCGGATATCTACCATTGCACGGAAGTGCGGTTGTGGGCTTTGAAGTTGTCGTAGACGACGATGTTGAAGATGTCGCCGACGGTGATGTCGGCGTTGAAGTCGACGCAGACGACGACGATGGTGAAGATGACCCCGATGGCGATGTCAGCGCTGAAGTCGACGCAGACGATGACGATGGTGAAGATGACCCCGATGGCGATGTCGGCGCTGAAGTCGACGCAGACGACGACGATGGTGAAGATGACCCCGATGGTGATGTCGGCGCTGAAGTCGACGCAGACGACGACGATGGTGAAGATGACCCCGATGGTGATGTCAGCGTTGAAGTTGACGCAGACGACGACGATGGTGAAGATGACCCCGATGGCGATATCGACGTTGAAGATGACTCCGACGTTGAAGATGAGTCATGGATAATTTGCGTGCAAACGTAATCCGAAGTGCAGTACTTCAGCGAAGGATCAAATAAGGTCGTTCCTGCACACTTTAGGCCATGATATCGACGTTGAAGATGAGTCATGGATAATTTGCGTGCAAAAGTAATCCGAAGTGCAGTACTTCAGCGAAGGATCAAATAAGGTCGTTCCTGCACACTTTAGGCCATATGGAGCAAATTTGGCACCGTCAAAAATGCACATGTAGTAGTTTTGACACGTTCCATCGTCGATTGGAAATAATCCTTGCATCACACATTTACTGGGAGGGACCGTTTGAGGCATTCCCATGGGAATGAAATTAGAGATGAGAACCACGACACCAAGAAGAAGCGCGTTCATTTTGTGTGCTACACTGGTATACAGAGAATGAAGATATGCTCTCGTTGATGTAATTGCTGTGGAGGATATATTAGCTTCGCCAAATTTATTGCTTTACTGCAGGGTATTATGGAAATCTTCTTAATTCCGAGCAAATATGAGTTACATACGTAGTACATATATCTTGTTACATCTTCCTTGTGACTAGGGAAGTATATGAAATATTATTACTCTGTTGTGTATAATTTTGAAAGATTTCGAGATATACTGTCAGGAATGATTCAAAGTTTTCTATTATTATTATGTATTAAATGGTACAATTAGCATTGCTAATTCTTATTGTTACACTTGGCGTAAAAGTATCAATAGAAATCTCGATTTAAAGTTTAATTTTAACTATTTTTATTTCATTACTAATATTGCAATCAATATTAATTCCATAATAGAATGGAGGGTTAGATAAAAAATCTCTATGTGTTATGCCTTAAAAGTAAGAATAATTGTATCGTCGCAGTTTCGCATTTCATTAATGGTATTTTTCTGTCTGTCCTTTTGATGTACTTTTTTTAAACAAACGAAATAATTCGTACAATAGAAGTAAATTATATTTCACCTTATTTGAATTCGTACAACTGAAATATATTACAATTTATTATAGTTAGTGACATAAAATTATTATAGATAAAAAAAGAGTTAACGATGCAGTATCACTAAAATACATTTTGAAAGTGTGAGTACCACCGTAGCTAGAGTAGATAATTAAATGACCGACACTGTAGAATGAAATTTTTTCACAGTGAACTGTCTCTTCGAAAAAAAAATCGAATTTAAGTACTCGTTGATCATATTTTACAGAAATTGAATAGAAAATCGAAGTTTACATACAAGAGTCTTAAAAGAAGAATAGCACAAAACTTCGTTACTTTCCTCATTGTCTACAATACGAAGCAAGAAGACCAACAATTTGACGACTTAAAATTTCCATATTTAAGGCCAGTTTTTACAACATCGGTTAGCCACGAGTAGCGAATATTCTAGTATCTCCTTATACCTGCCAGTCTTCGCGTTCAAAAGCCCAACCGTGATTTTCTTCCCGAAAGCCGATACCGCTGTTAGGGTTGGCGAGTTCGGGTGGCTCCTTCGAGCAACCCCAAAAGTCAGGTAGGTTTCCCTCGAAACCGCATTGTTCACCAGCGGGAGGTTTTGCAGGTAAAAGAAAAAAATATCGCGCAGGGGGGAAGAGAGTTGCGCGGGCAGAGAAGGAGTTCGATTCTTCGGGAGCAAGAGAAAGGATGAAGAAATGGAGGAAGAGAGAAGGAGAGAAGGAAGGAAGGAAGGAAGGAGCAAATGTATATAAGAGACTTGCATGGAAGACGCTCCAATAGACTCTCTCTTTGACCTTAACACGAAGTGTGCGTACCTTTCTTCCTGTTTTTTTCTCCTTCACTCTCCTCCCTCTTCGAAGTTTCCATCCGCAAGACTCCTTCGCTCACAGCGTCCTTGTTCCTCAGCCTTCATTTTGCCGTGAGAAACGACCGTTCTTCCGCATCGTGTGCATCTCAATCGTATGTTACTGAAAGGAATGACACGTTGAGTTTGTATTTTTTTTTTTTTTTTTTTTTTTTTTTCTCTTCGTTTCATGGTCTATCCTTGCTTTCTGTGACTTTTTACAATTTCTCTTTTATCGGATAGAAAAGTGTGACGTTCGTTTTAACGTGGTTCTCTGTGACATGCTCCTTAGGAAAGGCATTTGAAAAAGAGCCGGTGAAACATGCACGTTCTTCGAGTGAGTATAAAGAGTATTTTTAAGTAACGGAAGTCTCTCACGAGAGAATCGACGTTTTTTTGTTTATTCGAAAGTGTCAGTTGTGGTAATTTAAGAAAATGGTACTCGAAAAGTATGGAAAAGTGTGCCGCGATTTTAGAAAAGATTTTTCAAACTGTTGAGAGGGAAGAAAATTTGAAACAGAAGAAAATTTTAAGAAAGCAGTCTAATTCATTTGTAGAATAAACCTTTATTGTGAAATATAGAGTAACCGCCAATTGTGGTTGCTGATAACCAAAATGTTGATTTGAACTGTATTTAAAAAAAAGAAATGGCGATACTAGAATTTTATTTTCTAAATTTTTAGCACACCATTGTATGTCATTATTTTAGCTGCTATTTCGATAATTTTTTCATTAGAATACTTTAATTGGACATACATGTTATATCAATTTAGAGGGAATAAAAGAATAGTATTTGATGTAACACGAATAGAATTTGAATTTTTCTGCGTGAAGATTTCTGCAAATATCAGGAATTAATTTTTCTACTTCTGTAATTAAACATTCTACAAAATTCAAGTGTGTGATATATTTCAATATGTGTATGCATACTCTTTCTTAATTGTTGTACAATATGCAAAATATGTTTAATAATTCTCACTTATTTCTATTTAATATATTGAAATTAATTTACTTTGTTCATAAAATCAGCCTCTAAATATATACTATAATTAACAATTTTATAATACATTCTCACAAATTGAATAACTTTGAAACACTGTTAACACTTTCTTAACAAAGTAGATACCGCGCTTTTTTATGTAGAATGAAGTGAAGTATGCGTTCAATTCATTGTTCTTGTATTATAGATTACGTAGCATAGTTAGAAAATTAGAAACTCTGTATACACATATGTATTTCATTAATTTTGCAATGTATTCGAGAGAGTAAGTAGATGTTCGACTTTTCAGCCATAGGTATTATCAGGCGAAAGCTATACAACCAGAGATAAATTGCTATTTTCAACTAAACCCATTTGTATTGCATAAATACATTTTACGTACGCATTTTAATTGATCATTTATCAATTAACCCCACCGTTTTACTTTTATCTCACGTTATTTCCCTGAACCGTCGTTTTGTTTCATTCGAAAATTATTCAAATATTTCAACGATCTCCGTGAAATAGTAATTTTCGCGTGAAAAATAGAACATCATCGAACAAAGATTACGGGGTTAAATTCGTTTTACAGCGTTGCTGTACGCGTTGATGAAAGAAAATTGAATAATTTAAGCGAAAGAAATTATTAGGTCGTTGCATACAAAATGGCGGTTTTTCGCGTGCTGGCGAGTTCTGTTTTGTTTTTATAAACTCGAATCATGGTGATTGTCATATGAAAAAGTGAAACCTACAGTCTGCTGTTTTAAACGCAACACTTGTTTCGCTGACAAAGCTAGATTAAGGTTATATTAAAAGTAGAAAATGGATTCTAATCAGACTTGGGTGATTTCCTTTTCACGAATTTAAACTGGGACATGGCGCAGTAGAGGCACTGTGTAATGTTGATGTACACTGCATTTGGGATGAGAAGAGCTGGTGAACGGAGAACAGAACGTTGGTTTAAGCATTTAGATGATTTTGCAACAGGAAAGATATTCAAGAATTAAGAATGCATTTGTGGAATTTGTTACCAATAGTCAGATTTGCATAATAATAGACTAAAAGCATTTGTAATTCGTTGGAAAAAATGCGTCGAATCTGCTGGAATCTGTTTTGATAAATAAAGTTTAGTTTTGGCTACGTTACTAAGGTTTAACCCTGCTGCGTTCTTCGTTTGGGTACAAAAAGGACCTAAAGACCTTATGTGAAACAATTTTTGCTTCCAACACGACATATGAACCTAGAGAATAAACGTTTAAAATAATGTTAAGGAACGTGTACTTGATAACGGCAAAAATTACCAAAAATATGGAAAGGCGGTGGGTCAAAAAAGACCCGAAGACCGCTCTTGGGTTAAAGTTTCATTAACGAATCCGCCATTTCATACGCAACGACCTAATAATATCGAAATAACCAACGAAACATTGCCACTTTTCGAGAAGTGTGTACGTAACGTAACACAGCTAAATACACAACGTGTTCTTACATGCCTTGTTAGAATAAGGCGTGTACTTACTTTGTATGCATTTACATACGTCAGATTGCGTGCAAGAGCAAGTGCTTGATTTACCATGAAAAGCATACAACGCGAAGCCTTTCAATTCAAAATCGCCAATTTAAAGTCCAGCAACATAACGTTCCGAGGGACATGACCAAAATGTAACCATTCCAAGAAATTCACTCTCGATCAATCCACTTTCGCCTCAGGATGAACTAAGCGACGTTAGCAATATTAAAGTTGCATTTTGTTTTTCTCTTATACCGCGCCGATTTTTACAAGATTGTTCAATTTTCCAAGCACTTCGACCTATCGGATAAGCTTGAAAATGGGATCAACGCCTTGGATGAAGTTTTTTTTCAAAATTACGCTTTTATTCACTACGGTTTCCAAACGTTCCTCTGTCACACGAACGTGTGCAGACTTTATTTCTTAAATAGCCTCACAAATAAAGACCGAAACGAATACTCTACAAATACAAATCAGTTTTCTCCAAGAAATCTTGTAAGCCAGGTTTCGCTTTAATAAAGAAGGTTAAATATCTCGTGAATTATTTATTTTCTAAATACCTTGTCTCAATACTTTTATATGCGAAATGTTGAAAATAATGGATTCGCGCAAAAAATATATACAGTTTCATTCAGAAAACGTAAGTGTATTTCTTTCGTGTGTTGTTGCATTAGAAAAATGAAAATCTGGAAAAATAGACGTGATTGTGAAACCATTCGATTTCGGATTGATGTAATTTGTGCAAATTACAAGATCCACTCTATGTAAATTTCACTCGAGGCTTAAGATTTATACTTATATAGAAGAAAAACAATTATATAGTGCAAAAGAAGATAATCAGATTTCAGTGTTTGAATTTACTGAAATTTTATGAAACGTATTATTGAAAATATTCATACGACTCGTAAAAATTTGTCAAATCTGGTAAAGAAGTGATTTTTTGGACATTTTACAATGGAACAACGCTTTCTGATAATTTTCTCACAACGGTTTCAAACGAAACTTGAAACTTTACGTTGAATTAAAATTTTTAAATTTAATTTGAAGTTTAAATCTGAAACTTCTGAGTGCAATTTAAATTCTCCAACTTGAATTCCTCCTTTCTGCGCGGACTTTCAAGTTTCAGCGATAAATTAATACGTTGATATGTCCGTTTGAAACAGTTGTCGAAAGCCAAAACTGATTTGTAAACATTGCGAATTGGCAATCGTGCATGATCCAAGAGGAACGTAGTGAATGATGCGAGGGAAACATAATATGCTCGACGCTTTCGAATGATCCTCGTCGTTTGGTATTGTGCCAACAGAGGAGCGAAACTCTTCCGTTTACGACCTAAATCTGTCGCTTTCCGTTTGCACGCGTCTTCTTCTTATCGCACTGTCAATACCGATTTTCCTCGAATAAGCTCGAGGTTTTTTCTTCGATAAATAATCACGTGATTTATGTAAAATGTACCTCGATCAACGGAGCAGATGGGTGTTTGAAAATTAGGCGAATGTTGTGCATTGCTCGCTGAAAAAGAGAGAATTGCAACACCTGGAAAATGAAATCGCACAAATCTGAAATTTGCATATATTGTTCGGGATGTTGAAAGGTAGAAATGATTAAAATTTGGTTAAAAATGGCTTCGTTTATCGAAAAGGTCATTTTTTGATTTCCAGATTTGCGAAATTTCAATTTCCAAGTATTGCAATTTTTTTTGCAATTTTGTACTTTTCATGCTACATTAGTATTATTTTATTCTTTAATTTGCACAAATTTTCTAATTTGCACGATACATCTACCATTAGTATTTCAGTATTCGAAAGAAGAAGAATTTGTTGCAACAGAAAACGTTCAAAAGTGTGATTGATCGACTGTATTGGTATCACTCGACGGTTCACATTGGTGTAAAATATTTGAACTTTGCGACGAAACGAAATTTTTTTTCGTTACCTCGCTATTTTCTAAGAGGAATTATTTATTTGTTGATTAAAGAACGAGAAAAGAAAATTGAACACTAATTTCACATTTATTGTCTGAAGTTCGCTGGAAAAGCAGAATACACGATCAGCTCTCGTTATTAAGGTATTCCTGTAATTGTTTCCCACTCAAGTTTCTTTCCCAAGTGTACAATTTCCAGATTTTCTCTTATCTCTTTTTATCAACTTCTTAACAAGTTCATTTGTTGCTCTGGTAATAAATTAACCAAAAAATAGCACAACAGCGTAGCTAAAAAACTTTTTACCTCGTTCTTGTTAACGAATCGTATTGGAAAACGTTAAAAAATATATATCGGACAAAAAATTATACAGATATTAATATATTGCTCACGTGCCAAATTTTTATTCGTTAAAAAAAAACGAGTTTCTTTTACTATACAAATGTACATTTCAATTTTTATTTTCACCGAATTACTCAAGTACCAAAATTTCGCATATATTAAAATATTCGTAATTTTACAACATATTTTAATGTACCACTTTATTGAAATACCCAAGATTCGTGTTAACTGTAACTTCGTCTAAAAACAACTAAAAATATACAACATCGTTTCTCGTCGTCAAAATCATTCTCGTTCGCGTGGTAATTAACAGTTGAAAAAATGACATATACGTGTCGTAAGTCTTTAAGTCTCGCAAGTTTCTAATGCCGAAGAATGAAGGATTTTCTTTGGAAATTTTCATTCTTTTTCTGGTGAATGACGGTATTATTTGATTTTGAGTTATCTGAGCGGAATGTAAATGGCACCATCATTATTGGCATCGGTTAATCTTGATTAGCGTTGACGTTCATTCTGGCACACGTGCTCCTCATATGCATGCACTAACACCTTGTTGAACGCTTATTATACAGATTACATGCAACCACGTATTACATCTTCTCACTATAGGTCAACTCTCGTAATACCCACAGCCCACTTACCTACATTACCTCTGGCTGTACGAATGTCTCTCTCCTATACACTCTTGCGATATTACTATGTGTGAACCACTTAGGCTCTCCTCAATGAAAAACAGATCTATCTCAAACACGACTAATTGTATGCCACTTTTCGATAGTTCAAATTAGACTACAATAGATGTTCGGTAATAATTTCCTCACATTTTGACAGTAGGATGTTTTTTTTTTTCTTTTAATCATCGTAATTGAGGAGCAGACGTTGATAAATCATTGGAAAGAATATTGTAGGTGAAAATGATGCAAAATTCAATTTGAATGTCCCCTCGACTTGAAATTGGACTGTAATGTAACTTTGATAATAATTTCCTCACATTTTGACAGTAGGACGTGTTTTTTTTGTTCTTTTAATCGTCATAATTGAGGAGCAGACATTGATAAATCATTTTAAACAATATTATACTACGTGAAAATAATATGAAAATTGAATTGGATTGTCTTCTCGATTTGAAAATAATTTTATAGTAATTTCTGAGTGTAAATGGTAACTTCGAAAGAATAACTTTGCTATTCGAACTGAACTTCCATTGGAACTTAATTCGATGTTGACTATATCACTGTGTAATTTAGGAAGTTACAAAATTTCTCTATTATATTTTTCTGTAATTTCTTCTCAATGTAATGTAGAAAGTGACAGTAAATATATTCAAATAAATTATTTACAAATTTTAATTTTTGAGATTTCTTCTTTCAGTAAATTTAATTTTTCAGATTTCTTCTTTAAGTAAATTTAATTTTTCAGATTTCTTCTTTCAGTAAATTTAATTTTTCAGATTTCTTCTTTCAGTAAATTTAATTTTTCAGATTTCTTCTTTCAGTAAATTTAATTTTTCAGATTTCTTCTTTCAGTAAATTTAATTTTTCAGATTTCTTCTTTCAGTAAATTTAATTTTTCAGATTTCTTCTTTCAGTAAATTTAATTTTTCAGATTTCTTCTTTCAGTAAATTTAATTTTTCAGATTTCTTCTTTCAGTAAATTTAATTTTTCAGATTTCTTCTTTCAGTAAATTTAATTTTTCAGATTTCTTCTTTCAGTAAATTTAATTTTTCAGATTTCTTCTTTCAGTAAATTTAATTTTTCAGATTTCTTCTTTCAGTAAATTTAATTTTTCAGATTTCTTCTTTCAGTAAATTTAATTTTTCAGATTTCTTCTTTCAGTAAATTTAATTTTTCAGATTTCTTCTTTCAGTAAATTTAATTTTTCAGATTTCTTCTTTCAGGAAAATTAATTTTTGAGATTTCTTCTTTAAGTAAATTTAATTTTTAATGACATTTTTTCATTTATTCGATAACTGACGAATTCCCTCTCTGAAAAAGTATGGCGATTCTGAATGTCGATGAAGTCTCCGAGACTTTCTGAAAAAAGGCACCAAATTAACTTGTACACCTAATAAATAAACCTAAAGTGTGGTTATATAAATGTAATTTTAAACTGTTTCTCTCTAGTCACGTTTAAAATGGTGCAAGTAACAGTTCGTAACATAACATTATTAATATTTCTAATATTTTTAGTATTCTTAATATTTTTAACATTAACTTTTCCTGCAACATTTTTGCAAAAAGTACGATTAAAAATATGTCACTGTTTGCTACTTTCACTTGTGCAACTACGCTACTTTTTAATACTAAAAATATTAAGTACGTTGACTTTGATGTTAGTAGGTTTAAAAGTGATATGAGGGGACCGTATCTTATTTTTCCATTTGTTCACTTTCTTATGCAGTTCCGGTTTTCGCGCTAAGTACGGTTATCCACGAGTACTCTCGTTCTCTCTCACACGTCCGCATATTTTACAGTAGATGTAAAATAGCACATGGAGTTCCACGGGAACACCATTCAATCTCTGATTCGTGAGAAACGTGAGCAATAGTTATTCCGCTCAAATCTTCTCTACGCTTAATTTTATGCTATACTTGTTCTCCTTTCACTTCTGACCTTTTATTTTTGATAATTTAATTGAATATTTGTTTGAAAATACACCGACCAATTATCCTTTAAATTTCGTTTTACTTATCGTCGCGCCTGCAGTTGTATTATACAAACAGTAACGCGTTCACTATGATTCTATCTAATTAGTTATGAAAATTTCTATTAAATAACTAACAGCCTGAAAGTAAGAAAAATTTTCTCGTTACATGTTGCAAAAAAAAAAATTACAATAAAATACTCTATTTTCGTCCACTTGTACTATTTTTTTTTTTCAAATTTTTTAGAGCGTCTTTCGTTGAATTAGAAATCGTAAAATTTCAAAAATTGCCAAAATTTTATCGAATGAAAAAAAATAAACGATCAATTGAATACCAAACGTGAGGATACATACAAGTTTTAGTCTAACTGAGAAAGGAGTATGGAGTTAGTATAATGGTTTAATTCGAGCGAAATTGTGTAGTTCTGGCATAATTTAAAGTGGCTTTGAATTTTTTCTCAGGAAGTGACCGACTTTAGTTTACCCTGCGTTTATTTTCCCTGGTTATTGACTACTGTGGGAAGTGTACGATGTTTTCTAAGAATGTTACTCACCTTCATGAATTTTTATATTCTATTAGAGATGTGATATGTTTTATTAACTACGATTGGTCTGGAGATATCCAATTTCTCGTGGTATACATTAAACTGTCTTAATTAAACGACATATTTATTTCATCGATTTGTTTTATCTCGAAGACTGAATCAAGTGTTGAAATATAAAATAAGACCTTGCTTAGAGTATGCTGTGATTATTTAGTCTCCTTACCGTGTTAACCCTTCCAAAGCGCCAAATACTTAACTGTTTAGCTCGAGAGAGACTCTTAGGAAGAAAGTTGAAAAGGGGCGAGATATTATTGTCACAACTATTGTATCCCTTGTTTCAAAAATGTGATTCATAATTTCATTAGACTGTCAAAGGGTTAAACGCAAACGGTCACTCGAGGGTGTTCAACATCGTTTTCTAAAATATGCCGCATACAGGATGGGGCAAAGAATGGCAACTGTTGATCATAATTACCACCCTATTGTTGACTAGACAATAGATACATTGCTCTTTTTTAAAATTATCAACGGTGCCATTCGTTGTACTCAGCTATTGCAATTAACCCTTTAACCGACAACAACGTGTCAGACTCGCGACAGAGATTTTGGTCAAGATATGACAAAAGTAGTTATATTAGTAAGAAAAATTCGTTGTAATCCTAACTTTCGTTTGAATTTCTAAAATTAAGGATTCCTAAATGTAATTAATCTGTAACAGATCAGCTTTCGTTGCCTGATATGGTACTGAAACATTAAATGGCTGACGCTTAGATGCATAGTCAGAAAAGAAATCATAGGTTAAGGGGTTAATAAGCTTTTATACACCAACTAGTTCGCTCAGACCTGCACAACCCTTCTTGTTTCAAAGATACACACCAAACTTCTCGAACACAGACCGAAATATTTCAATTTTTTCAATGTTTCTACCCACTCATTCGTAACACGTATTGACAGAGTCTTGTAATTTCCGCATTTTAACACGTTCGTCGCCACGGGTATGCTTCCGTGGGGGCCCAGTCACCCAGATATGGGTGACGTTCTTCTTCGTCAAGTTAAATAGGATTTTACAAGTAATTTATAAAAATCCCATTTGTAACACAAGGATTTAATGGAATATCACACTATATTATGCTATACATTAATTTATATTTAAAATAAAATACAACATTATACTACGTAGCATGGTATTCGTTAAAACAGTTCGAACACATTTCTGGTGATTTTGGACAATTGGGACAATATGTTGTAGCCTTTTTTACATTTTTTCTTTCTTCCTGGCGTTCGAGAGTTTGTCTCTTCTTCTGGTAACATAGAACGCAAATTCCAACTAATCGCTCTGTCTACGTTCTTGCGCTCCGACTATCGGATTTGGGCCCCGCGAGGAACTCGACCGATTCACGCTGGGTTTTGTTTACGTTCTTGCGCTCCGACTATCGGATTTGGGCCCCGCGAGGAACTCGACCGATTCACGCTGGGCGACGAACGTGTTAAGTGCTCACTTATCTTTAGTAATCCAACGGGAAGTCTTCCCGCAGAAATAAAATAAATTCCACGAAAAGAAGAGAAACATGAATTCAACGTTCAATATTAAGCTAATCGTTACTTTGCACTGTTCCAGGTTACGTTAATATTACTTTTCCACATCTTCGTATGCAACACGTCATCGCACCTGAAGAACGATCGAGATGGATCACCTAATAACGGCGAAACCTACGTTCGACGTGCTCGAAGAATCGCATTGAACGAGTATCTCGTCCCACCACCGCCACCGCGACCTCACTCGATTAGGGCAGGACGAGTAGCGAATCCTTCGCAGAAGGATACTCCAGGCTACTTCTCGCAACTGATGAACTGGCTGAATCCTTTCAGTTTCGGCTCTCCCACGTCTCAAAAGTCGCACCTCGAAACTCCGTACGTTTCACACCCTCAACCTTACGCTCCACCGCCGTTCCATCAACCCTCCGCTCCACAACCTGACCCATCGTTTCACCCTCTACTCGGATCACAAGCCACTCTACCCTTGTATCCTCCTCTCGCCCCTCCTCCAGCCCAACATTCCGGTCCACTTCTCACAACTCCTTTCAGCGCGCATCCTGTCCCACCTCTAAGTCCTCCCCCAAATCCACAAATCTACAACGTTCCTCCGGCACCCTTGCACAATGTGCAACACGTTCCTCCGCCTGGCAGAAGCATCGACGGTCCTTACGTGCCGGTGAACAAGGGAAAACCCTGCAATCCTTGCAACAAAATTCCCTGGATCCCGATGCAAGGCGGCGGACATCACTCGGAGCAGTATCTGGTCCCTCCGCAACTTTCAGACGGTTATCTTCCTCCTGGCAATCAACCGAGCAGTCACGACATCCAGTACGCAGCTTCGGATGAGATTAGAGTCCCGGTGTTCTCTCAGATACCCGTGGAACAAAGCAGGCAGCAACCTTTGTACCCTGGATTGATGCCTTTCTACAAAGCAGAACCCTCCGATAGGCCAACCCTGAGTAACGCTCCTTATGTAGACAATTTGAAGCAGTTCGAATCGCCACCTGCGCCTGTAACACCGACGCCCAACCACGAGGAAAGAAATCCTCAGGTGAACACCGATCAAAGTTACAATCTATACGGTAACGAGGATTTAACGTCGAGTGGAACGCAAGTGAATCAAGGACACGTGAGTGGTGTATCTCAGAACCGCGAGGTCGAGATCAGTAAGGAGCATTTGGATCACGAAGGATCGTTCGGTGGTCCGATTTTTGACAGCGAACCTGCTGATCAGAAATATCGGAATAGTCCTTCGACCCCTAAGCAGGAAAATAATCGAGATTTGAGTCATTCTGTGCAACATAAACAGAATACTGTTGTTAACTTCGAATCGCCTAATATTGAGAATCATGATTTTAGCAGTCAGAATAGTAACGATTACTACGACTCGTTTAAATCGAACTTGGATCACAATGCTGGTTTGAATCATTTGACACCTGATTCGAATCCTTCGGCTAGTTTTGGAAATTCTGATTTTAATAATCATCAGATTGGTAATTCGAATTATCAGTACTCGGGCGATTTGTCGCCTAGTGGCAGTGTTAATAAGGATTCACAGGTGACGACTCAGTTGTCTCTTGTGACTGGTTCTTCTGTTCGAGAAGGACTGATACACTTTGAGGAATCACCATTGCTGGATCTGACGAAGAAAGGTGAAAGTCGTACCGATACTCAATGGTCAACATCCACTGTTGGGTATACGGATATCTATGGAGTGTCTGACAGTACAATAAAGACGACCACGGATTACAATCTAGGAACTGATAGTATCTTCGACGAAGATACGTCTAGTTTTGTCAAGACAACCGAGTCTTATTCTTCCTCGGATATTCGAAATATCAACAGTGTTTTTGGAACGTCGGCGTACGCGGTCGTAAATTTACCAGAAAATAATAGAAATCAACAGGTTGAAACGTCGACAATTAACGCACAATACACAAATCAACCGAACGTTTTGCATAATCCGTTATATGGACAGCAAGGATTTTTGTGGTCGAATTTGTTGCCGAATGCGCCAAATTCGAGGAACGATTCTTTGAAGAATCATGTGTCTTTGAATCATCTTGCTCAGTGGAACGATTCTTCTCCGGAAGATTCTCGAAAGCAGGATAGTCAGTATTCAAAGGACACGAAGGATACGGTTCAGAAGCAGTTGAGTATAAAACGAAACAAGCAAGTAAGTGAAATCGTTTGTCTAAATTTTTAGTTTTAAGTATTACAGTAAAATACTTAACGGGAGATTTTAGTAGTAGCAAAACCTTTCGTTTTCACTGTATCAAAATTTAAATTTGAAAAAATTTCTTAAATTGCAGAATTTTAAATTTGAAGGAATTTCTTAAATTGCAGAATTTTAAATTTGAAGGAATTTCTTAAATTGAGAAATTGTAACTTTGAAAGAATTTCTTAAATTGCAAAATTTTAAATTTGAAAAAATTTCTTAAATTGCAGAATTTTAAATTTGAAGGAATTTCTTAAATTGCAGAATTTTAAATTTGAAGGAATTTCTTAAATCGAGAAATTGTAAATTTGAAAAAATTTCTTAAATTGCAGAATTTTAAATTTGAAGGAATTTCTTAAATCGAGAAATTGTAAATTTGAAAAAATTTCTTAAATTGCAAAATTTTTAATTTGTTTTCATTAAAATAAGAGTGCCCAAAGGATAAAATTATAGTGAAAGTGCGCCAAAAGGCGCCAACAGCACAAATATTGAAATCGCCTATAAGTGCCAATAATGAAAGGGTTAAAAACCTGTTCTACCGTGATTTGCTGACAACATATTTTATTTGTGAAAATAATTAGAATTAATAATGTTATTTTAGGTACAGGTTATTATACCATACACCTCAGAATACACGCCAATTCCATTTCAACACTCTTACGGAGACTGGAGCGTCAAAACTAACTTCGAAAGAACGCAACCGAGAAAAGTTTCTCCTCTACATGAAGTGAACATCGATAACTACCTTCAACAAGAATCTAGGAACGATATTCGAGTTGTCAATCAGTCGCAGATTAACTCCAATGATTCGAACAATTTGAACGTGCAAGTCGTAAAAACAAATAATTCCATCGATGTACGCAGGTTACAAAAGAACATTGATAATTGGACAATACAAGTAAGTTTATAAATACAAAATTATCTTTCATCATTTTCTTCAAATATATTTTAACATTTATTCTTTATAATTTTCTAATTTCTTCTTTTTCTAGAAATGAGTTTTTTAATCTCCTTTATATAGAACATTGTGAAGTATAGTAATTAAAATTTTACAAAATTTCTTCGTTAAATGTACACTTGATAATTAATTCTAAATTATTTTTATTTTTAATTTTTTTCAATTTACGTAGATTGTTAAAATAATGCAGCAATTCTGCTAAAAGAGAGAAAAAAATGTAAGGTAATTGTCATTGCATATTTATTTAGGAGTATTCGAAACCTACAACGTCCAGCACTATTTTACCTAGTTCCTTGCATCCTTACTTATTACCATCGAAGAAGATACCAACGGAATATTTAACAACGACAGAACCAGCCAACTATGCAAACGAATCGAAAGATCACCATGAAAGTGTAAAAACGTATTCCTTGGCTGGATTTACTTTCAACGAAGTAGAGCATGAGGGCTCTACGAGCTACAACATTGAAAAAATTCAAGCGGTAATTTATTGCTTGCTAACTTTACACGCTCTACCTATCATTTTTTATCTGTCCATAATTTAATTTCTCATTGTTTTATTACTATAACGTTATTAATATTTTTAATATTTTTGGTATTCTTAATATTTTTGGTGTTCTTAATATTTTTGGTGTTCTTAATATAAAAAAATATTTTTAATATTATTATATTATTATATTAATATTATAACATAAATATTAATATTTACAGCCACCAATTTATTTCAGAATTCATTTTCATAGATATGTTAAACATTCATTTCCAGCCTGACACAACTATACGAATCGACGGCTCTAAAGCAACAGCCAGCGGTTCCGGGATGAAAGAGAAGTCAACATGGGAAACGTACTCAGTGTCAATATTACCTGGGAATAAAGAAAGAGTTTATGTGGTAACACCACAACCAGTACCAGAAAAGTCCTCGAAGAACGATTTGAAAAAGCGAGAAAGAGAGTGGGAAAGAGAAAATTCACAGAAAAGAAGCGAATCGACCATTAACGATGCAAACAATAACAAGTCCAACTTAAGCGAATTCGAGGCCATCGAGAAGGCTTATCAGGTACTTCCACAAGCGGTAAATAATCTCGCTGTCGCGTCAACAGGGAAAGAAAATATTCCTTTATGGGGTATTATGGAACACGAACAATTTGCTTCGTTGAATTTAGACGAAACCGACGAAACAGCGTCCGAGGACATCGTTGATAGACCAGTACTTTATTCTGGACATTCGAAGGTAAAATAAATTAACAAAAAGTATTGAAGAAATTTTGTTACATAAATTTTTCAAGATTTTTCTTTATAACACGTTAAAAAAAAAAAAAAATTGAAAATTGCACAACATATGCAGAAAAAAAGAAATATATCACGGGTACGAAATGAGAAATTTATGCAAAATGACAATTATATTATTTATAGGTTTCACGTGCTAAACGATGACATGAAACTGTCTTTTAAATACGGACACTGAAGAGTATAATTTATAATTGATTATTCATTTGTAATATTGAAATTTTAAAGACTTCCTATTATTTGATTAGTGTTGCAAAATACGAATGAAATAATTTTAGTGCTCTAAGTGAAAGAATAGAACTATTCTACGGCCAGTATGTAATTTTATACGTTTACATTACGTCCGCCAATAAATCGCGTGTAAAGTAAATAAGTTAGGTTAGGTGTGTTTGTAAAAAGATGCGCAAGGCGTTAAGTTTCAACTTTATTTCTTATTTCGGCTTTGTAGACGAAGCGAAACTACATTTTAGAATGACACAAGTCCTACAAAAGTATATTTTCATTAACATATCGATGATTTATCGATTATATGTTACTTTGTAAATACACGTAAACGTAAAAACATATCATAAGTTAGACGAATAAAGATAATTGTAAGTATCGATAAGTTTGCGTGTAAATTTTAGGATTCTAATTGTAAAATAGTGAAAAAAATGTCAAATAAATTATAAAACTATTAAAACTTCCAAGTATGAATTTAAGGAATAATATTCAGAGCTGGGAAAAATTTAGAGAAAAAATATTTTTAAAAGCTCGTCGCAAAAAAGTAAGCTACTTTATTTTTACAATTTATACGCACGATTTAAAATAAAATAGACTATTTACTATTTGAAATAATCTTTTATCCAGCTCTGATAACGCGTCAAGATTAAAAAAATTGTTTAATGTGAGTACATATTGTGTGTGCAGAATACTTGAGAATTTTTATTTCTGTAATGTGAGGACATTTATTTATAATTTCTTGAAATTGAACCTTTTATCAACCAAAATATAAATTATTCTTCAAAATGAATTTAAGTTCGTTATTTTTTTTCTTTTTTTAATAATCGCCTCACATGTTTTTCTGTATCGTTACTTTCGATGATTTTGCATAATTGAAAACCAGCCAAAAACAGTCTACCTATTTGTATTCCGCTGTTACAGTCTATGCCCATTCATACGTATTCCGCGTACCACTGGATTGACAATGTTTAAGACTTTCCCAATTATATGGTGAAAGGAGATTGTATTCCGGTTCACGTTGTTTCATCAATTGAAAAGTGCGAGCATTTTACCATAATTTCGTGACTGAAATTGAACATGACTACACTCTCTAATTTATTATTAAACGTTGTAAAAAGATACAAGAAATATGGAAAAACAAACATATGCTCTAATTTTCAAATATTTCTTAACAAGTGTACAATATAAGGCATCGAAAACAGGCCATTTGAGTAACTCGCCTAGGTTTTGGGGAAAGTGAATTTTTAGTTTTAAGGAAAATATTAAATCTGACGTCGATAGATTTTTTTTGCAAGTAGAAATGTAGAGAAGAAGTTTTTTTTTAATGAAATAGAGCGTTTCAAGCGTATACAGTGACCTATGGTTAAAGGTCGTTCAAGGTAGTTGGAGGTAAACTGCGATTGAAAATAATTTAGTTCTGTATAATTTACTTAAAAATATCTAAATTAAAAATCTTTGATTATTATTCGGGTACATGTTGAACATCTACATAATACCTGTGTAATCGCTTTCTTTAAACAAAACTTTTAGTACTTTGTCATTTCCTTTGTGGCGTGTGGGAACTTTTACCGAAAGATTCTGAAGAGAAACGACCTATTGTTCTTGCGAAAGATCATGGTTGTTAAGAGGTACGATAACGAAACACTTCACGTCATTAAGTCTGTTCCTGTAGCAAACGACATTGAACAAGCGTATGACCTTAATTAAAGTTGAGAATGATACAGCAGTTGTTTCGTAGAAAAAGTGTCATTTTAACGTTACAAACGCAAGGTATCAAGAAGACGTACTACATCAAGTCACCTTTTCAATAATATCAAATAATTTACTGTACAATTTTTATAATTAAATACAAAAGATTTTTCGACTTCTTGTAGTCTAAAAAATAAAAAATTTCTCTTGCAAGAGAAAGAGATTTTCTATCTTACAGTTTCTCCCTTCTTTCGTCCATTTTTATTTGCGAATTTAGGCAATAAATACAATAAATGAGTTCGTTTGATAACGTGAATTGCTGATAATCATTGCTACACATATAAAGAATTCTATAGTCACAAAATAAATGTACAGCGTATATACAATTAGGAATTTTCTTTTCTTTATTTTATCTCTTGCGATTTTCTACTTCGAACGATCAGTATTTCCACTGTCCATATTATCACTGTAAACGCTGTAATGCAATTTATCATAATAATGCATGATGTGTAACTTCCAATACGATCACGCATTATACCTACAACAATAAGAAAAAAAATTATATTTCAGCGATACAGCTCCTGAAAATTAAACATACGTATTTTCAATTGTCGTTGTATAATTGTTTGAAAACATGTTTTTCTAAGTATATATGTATATGTAATATGTAAAGTAACAGCGGCGCACGTTTAGCACTGCGCGGTTATGAGGAAAAATTAGGGTGAAAGAGGCGCGCACGGGTCAGTGATTGTGAGTATAGTTGGTGACAAAGTTACAGTGAGGTCGTAAAATCAGACAAGCGTGAAAAACATGAAATCTGATCGCCGAAACGTCAGTAGGGTGAGATAAGGGCCGTTGGAAGTCAACTCAGCACCGGTTTTCCCATTACAGTATACAGTATATTCTCCACAAGTGTCAGACCGCAAGGAAGCTAAACCTGACCCTTGTAGAGTCAGGGGCTACGTTTTCGAGCCTCGCGCCCGCCTTTGTAGTTTGCCGAACGTAGACAAGGACAGCGAAGAAAAGATAAGCATGAAACGTGAATCGAGGCAACCAAGCGATTTAAATATCAACTTTTTTAATTTTACGTTTTTCTATCCCG